GTATTTTTTTGCGCAAGAGTGCTGCAGTTCCAGAATATTTTTTGCCCATCCAAGAGTTTCTTTCTTTATTTGGCCTATAGTTATTGTAAGGCTTTATAAATAAGTTAAGTAACTATGCTATTCAAAAAAATTTTTCACTGGGATTTGCTAATTATTTTTCGGGTTATCCATCATATCCATCACTTCGTGCAAGTTCGTGTTTCTTGAAGAGAGGTTCTGTATTTCCTAGTTTTGCTTGCACAGTACCCTGATTTTCGGTTATGCCAGTATTGCTGAAAGTGAGTTCTGATGGTAGAAAACGGCTGGCAGCAACTGAAAGGACCGCTTCTTGCGGTGGACGCAGCAGGACCAAAGTGTTGGAATAGGGTTTCGTTTTTTCTCGAACGGTTTTGGTGAGTTTACGTTGCTACTTTTATTTCATGATACTTCTTTTATGCTCTTACAGAGGTAGTTGAAGGCATTTCTGCGTTAACTTCTCAGTCTTCGCTCATACTTTTAGTGGCTCTGCAAGCGAGAAGTTCATTGCAGTCATTGTTTAGTCGTTTCATACTTTACCCACGTGAAGTTTCTGTCAATTCTTTTATATCTTTTTCACGTGGTTTCTTCATACTAAGCTTTTTATGCATACAGTGCATTGTACTATATTTTAAGCGGAATTATCTATTCTGTATGATTTTTCAGTGAACATATCAACAAATAATTGTCGAGTATAATGCATATACTGTACATAGTACATCGTACTGGGAACATCTTGGTCACGTTCAGGGGAACGTAGGAGGAAAAGGGATGGTCAAGGTAGGGGACGCTAAAATGGAGGACGTTCGTGTAGACACAACAAGGATTAAAAAAGCGGAAGTTTTTGTAGATGTATAAAATGTCTCGGTAGGAAATGAGAGCGTGAGTGCGGAAAGACTAGCAGCAGTACTACGTCAACCCTTTAGCCTGTCGCTAGACAGATTCAAACGTTAAGTTTAAAGTAACAGATCTTGAAAAAAAGAAGAAAAGAAAATAGAAAATAAGTGAACGGGCATGAGCGGTAGGAAAATCTATTGTTGGAGAAGGCAAACTTAAAGACAGTGCCGAAAAGAGTTCGACGTTAAGGCTAAAAGTATGCTTAATTACGCTTTGAGGATGTTGTCTCCATTTTAAGTGGTCAAACTACAGCAGATCTGCTCTCACGCTGTTTGCCAAAACACTAAGTAGATGATTTATGTTTGCGTCTTCGAGGTTCCTGAACCAGCTGCTTTTAAGGTGTCTGATGTGTTTTGGAAGAAGAAGGCGGAATTATTGACAATTTGCTCTCTAAGGAGAAAAGCTGAAAGTGTGTGTTGATTAGCGGTATAGACTTGTGAAATTGCTTTTATAAAACTCACGCTGCAATTGCCATTGTTTTTAATTACCATTCTTATTGGAAATAACGCTTTTATGATGTTCATCGCATTAAACTGTTTATTTTCGTTGCAACTTATCGCTTTCTAGCACTGGAATACACTTTTTACAGCCACAATAACTTAAAATCACCACAAAACGGTCAATACTGCGAACTTCTACAAGTTTGTACATGCAACATGTACTCGCTTAGAAAAACGACTTGTAACTCAAAAAAACGGTCGCTGATCTCCAATCGGACTAAGTACAGAGAGCTGCGCGAGTTCCAAGGTTGTCAGCCACAGAATTTCTTTTTTTTTTTCCTCAAACGACAGAAACCTTTGAACGTGATTGCTTTTCATTCTTGCATAAATTTTTTCTTTTTGGGAGGGAGGAAGGAGGGAGGGGGCAGACTAAGAAAGATGGAAAGATTCTTGAGGATTGGTCAGCTTATACAGGTCAGTAGTTGTCATGGTTTCTTGTAGATTTGTAAGATCTCTGTATTTTGTTAAATAAGCAAATTATTTCCACTAGAAAGATAAATTATTCTTTACTTGTAGTATCAAATAGTGTCTTGTTCATTTACACCGAGTTTTGAATAAGTCATTTTGAAAAAAGCTGTAATGTTTCAAATGAAAGATAGTACTGATGAAATACAAAGTTTTTGTTTCTATTAAAAGTATGTACTCAGAAATGTTTTCAAAATTAGGCACTGACGTACTTCAACGATAGATTTTAATGAACTTCAGCAATGTAGTGCTGTCCTGGGTGGGTGTCGCTTGACTAGGACAAATTATGATAATAACAGGTGATGTTACATTTTAGAAATCATTTTATCGCAGCAGTCTTGTGTTCTAAGCCACATTTTTTAAATAACAATACTGTTCATATGATTAAAGATCTTTAGAAATAGATTAATGAGAAACTATAGGACGAATTCATGCGTTAGGACAGAATAACCTCCTCCTCATGATATATCATGTACGCGAGTGCCTTTCAACAAAACAAGTATAATTTTTAGCTTGGGAGAATAGAATTACTGATAAGCTTCTATTGGAAGTTCCGCTAGTTCTTATTTGTATAAAACTTTGCAAGAAATCTGTGGTTCATATTAAGAAACTTGAGTTTTGAAGGGAAAAATTATGGGACACGTTTACGAATCAGCTTTGATGAGTCTTCTGCGAGAATAGCGTTTCGTTTTGTAATGACAGTAATACAAGAAGTAATCTTCAATTATGTTACTACCACCAGCGTTTGGTTACGAGTGTCATTTATTGGCGTTTTAGAGATAACTGCTGAGAGCACTTTTGTGTTTTTATGGTTGCTTCAAATACCTGTGAGTTTTAGCGTATTTGGAAGTTATCAAACCAAGTGCTTTATGCGTTAGAAGAACAAGAGGTATGAGGCGCATCTGTTGGCAGTTTACAGTGAAGCAATTTGGATTTTCAGAATAACAATTGCTAACCTGAAAATATAGAAGCGACTTCTGTAAAGAATGAAATTAAAGCTAATTCATTTTTGGTAAGCATTAAGTAAAAATAGAATTTGTCCCTTAATTATCTGACTCCTATTGCGTTCTTAATGAGGCTGTGACGCAATTAATTGAAAATTTTATCGCTGTTTTGTTGGTTATCAATTTCCTTACTGCAAAAAATTTTCTCTTATTAATGAGTAAATAATATAATCGCACACAAAATTCAAGTAGCAAAAAAAAATTTTATTTTATTATTTGAGTAAATAAGCATTGATTGAATTTTGAGAGTACTTGAAAGGAAACAGCTGACGTATGGAACATTAACTAGTTCAAGAAATAAAACTTGTCTTAAAGTAAATAAATTAATTAGAACGCTTCATATAGCATTTCCCTTCTAAAATCATGGACAGATAAACGTCATTTTTCTTTTTTACTTATAATGTCGTGTTCTCCACATTTTACCACAAGTATGAAAGTTTTTTGAAATTAATGGTAACTCTCTGGGTACCGAAGCTTTTCCGTCTTTGACTACCGGTTGGCAGTCAATTATCGCAGCGGTCATTATTATGCGAAGAAAATTCGGCAACAAATTTGTTGAGTTTTTTGAACCTTATCAATCCCGACACAGACTTGTCTTCGGACCTTACTGCATGACTCATTTGTACGACGGGAGAAAATTCTAAGTTCTGACCATTAGCCATTTAGTATCACTGGACGACCTCTAATGTAGTAATATGTGTTAATGTAATGGAAGAGTATGCCAGCTAAGCAAATTCCAATCATCTGAAAACATTTTATACTTGTGTTTTCCAGATTTAAGGTACTATATATTTGCTGCTACTTCATTAGTACATGATTTGTGGTTAATAAAATCTGTAACTCGGGACATTAAATAGAGTAAGACTTACTTGAAATCCAGCAAATGAGAACCCAAGCGCAGCAAAGAGAGTGGTTTTTGACTCTAACCAAGTCAAAAGACGGTCAGCGCAACCCTGAGAGACAGATTCCGTAACAGTTTGTTTGCAGGCTTCTTTTAATAGTATTTTAAGTGACTAAGAAAAGACTTACTGCAATGTTGACTGATGTATTAAATGAGGATGAAAAATATTTATAGGTTGTACACATTGGATCTACAGGCTGAATATTCCATGACCGAGCAGTCTGAGTTTGCTTACAACACGACGGAGGAACAGATGACCGAGTGCCCCGAATAGTATTTGTTATAAACCAGTATGAATTCTCGTAGTCCAAAGGACCGTAACCGCCACAACATTGCTGCTGAAAATACCTCAGCGTTTTGTGGAAAAATTTGTTTTAAAAATTACGTTTTTTTAAAAACAGATTTATACACTACTTAAAAGACGGTTTTTCTTGATTTTCAAGTAGACTTTTCAATTATTTGAACATATTTTAAAAGTAAAAATTGAAAAGAATTTCTGACATTTGATCTGTAACTTCAACTGGTTCCTGTAGATTGTTAATTACACCAAATATTTTGACATGTCTAAAACAAAAGACCAAAGTAATGGCAACAGTCGCTAAGCTTACGTAATACTGTATGGTATCCAACAGTGGAGTTACCCAGTAGACACGATTGTAACGATTCATCGACATGTTAGCTATGTATTTAGCCATAGACTCTCTTGTGAACTAAACGATTTTGGATGTCTCATGGGCAAAAAAGAGGGAAAAAGCATAATTCATTTGGATTTCTATAAATTTATGTCGGGGTTTGTCATTAGAACGATTTTATTACTGCGTATGATGTGTATTTTTTTAGAGCTGTTTCAGTTTTGTAATCTTTCATTTAGAAACTTGAGAAACGGAAAATTTCTCTTCCAAATCGGTAAATGGAGCCAAATGATGAAATTTTATGGGCCATATTTAGGAAGATTTGAAACAAAGTGAGTGGTCGGAAACGGAATTGAAAGTGAGTTTGAAAAAGATTGCCAAAAATGGAAGAAAATGCAACGGGACGCAGCTGAATAGTAAGTGAATTTAAAGTAACGATAGATCTATGGAAAAGTACTGCGGTGGCGGAAGATGGAAAATAAATAAATTTAATTCTTTTTTTTTTTTGTTATTTTTTTGTCATTTTTTTCAGTCTTTCTTCTTGGCAACGCATCGATTAGGCAAAGAGAAAAAAAGGTAAAAGTTGTTGAACATTGAACAACTGTTATACTGAACAAAAAAAACAGCAACGGGCTACAGTAAATGAATTACTTAAGGATAACTTCACTCAATCACTGCTAAATAAACAACAAAAAGGAAATAAGTGATAACATATAAGTGAGTTACCTTTTTACGGTATGCAATCGCTAGAGATCCAATAACAATTTCTGCTGGTGATATAATTAATAAGAACAGTATTAGCTGAAAAAATATATATATTAAAGATTGAACTAGCTTCAATACTACAGCTGTCAGTATACTTTTTTTTAAAATAACTTTACCGTCACTAATGGACAGCGCAGTTTTTGCGTTGAAGCACAGCAAGCGACAAATCCCACCAGAAGTGTTAATGTACCAACTATTATCATCAAATACGCGGCACCACGAAGTAATGGTACATCCTCCGAAAAATGTACCAAATCTAACAGGTAACTGTGACGAGGATCGAGAATTGTCCAAACAGTCACAGCTATTAAGGAAAATCCAGAGGTCTAAACTGGAACAATTACAATAAAAGCAAATTTTATTACTGTCAGAGAAGGATCAATAATTATCTATTATCAAAAGATATACTGTTATTTTATAAAATCAAGCAATTTTTCTTCTATGATACGGGATGCGCCAAGAGTGAGAGAACATTCCAGCAGTTTCATTAAAGAAGCAGCTGTAAAGGAATTATCTATAAAAAGTTTTTGAGAATACTGTTGCTTTTTCTTTTAGCTCTTGAAAACTTTATGAAGTTTAGCTTATACTTTTTGTGCAGATGAGAGAGGTAACTGCTGAGGGTTTCTTAAAGTTATTTCTTCTACCAAAGTCAACTGATTTTGGTAAAGAAACAAAGTATCACTGGGTTTTTTTCATTTTTTAAAGAAGTTTTTCACTTTTTTTGTCAAAACAAACAGATCATTTCCTTGGGTTTTCGAATACTTTTGCTTTTTCTATTAGAACGCCGAAATTCAAAAAGAAAGAAAAAAAGGAACTGAAAAGTTAATAAAGAATTGAAAAGAAATCATTTACAAGATGAGGTGAAAAAAGTGAACATTGGTCGAGGGAAAAGAATTAAAAGAGCATAAAATATGTTCCACTACTTCTAGAAATTAAGTTTGTGGATCTTGAAATTTCTATGATAAACATCCCAACTATTTTTTTTCAGTACTGATACGCTTCAAAAGTGAACTAATATGAACAGCCTGCTCTTAGTCTGGATACTTTTGAGAAACCCAGGATACATCGGAACGACTAAGGAAGGTAACAAAAAAGAAGGTTAATTATAAAAATTATTATTACTTACCCAAAATAATATTGTAAATAGTAACAAAAATATTTGATAACACTGTACTTTCTCAGGATATCCCATTGCTATATTGATCTGGCAAGAAGAGGAAACGTCGTCGCGAATATGAGTATGTAGTGATAGTGAACTGATTGACAATTAAATCCTTAGTGAAGCAAAAAACTAATTAACAGTCATGTAATTGTCAGAAATTTACTTGAACTTAGTGTCCTTATTTTTAGCATGTAGGTAACGTTTCTACAGGTGAACATTTATCTGTAACAAATTGAATGAGCACAACAACAACGACGGAGTACTGAATTGCTGCTACAGACGACAATCTAAAAAAGGAGGATCAAACAAACGGCAGGTAAGAAAAAGCGTTATTGATTGATAGCCTTGATGTTGGTTGAGAAGAATCGATAGTGCCAAGAAAACGATGCGAATAGCTTCCTACAGTTCTTCTCCTGCTCTGATATGTAAATATTTGGATAGTACGGAACGCTGTTGTTGTTTAAATGTTACGGGGGTTGCCGGTACGCTTTATATTTGCGAACAGGATGTCGAATGTAGCATGCCGAACTAGGGCTTTGATTCACCGTTGCTTAACACCTTGTTTCCTCTACAAAACTCTCACCGTTGGCTGTATTTGAGGATATTTTCTTCACTTTTTTATCTTCAGTTATCTAAAGATTCTCTTTAGCATTAATGATTCTTTGTTTCCAATGGTATAAGTCATGATGCTTATTTTTTCTTCAGTTTTTTTTTCTAGTCTATTACACTGGTGTCCAATTTTTATGCTGAACAAAATGTAAAAGCATTTTTTGAACCAAATCCACTTTTCAGCCACATTTTAGATGTAATAATAATGTAGACAAACAACAGAATTATTTTTGATTAGGCAACTTGATCAAGCGACGATATGCAAGAGAATCGGGTTGACTATGTACAGGGTCACCTTTAAATTCTTTGCCAAGTACACAACAATGTTTATTATATTTAATAAATCTGTTTACTTTTTCATTTTTTTGCTATAAAAATCTATAAGCATCATTTGTGTATCGGTTTGTATGCATTGGAAAACAAACCGAAAACAAGATACTGATAAATAGCAGCAATTACTGCGTCTAATTTTTGAATAAATAGATGTCTTGATGTTTTTTTTGTTGTTGATGCTGTTATTGTTTTCTAAAAATATATTTACAAAGTAAAACTGTTTCAAGGGATTTCAGCCCTTGATTTATTAAGTAGACTAACCGAACCATATAAATAAATTGAAAGAAATTAAGGGTAAAAATAAAGTTTGAGCTAAGAGATCATTAATTTTGGCTTAATTTTTACAAAGATAAAAAATAAAAAGTAAAAAATCATCTCGCGCTTTTTTTTTTCATAATCTTAAAGTTATCCAACAGTTTATTAATTTTTTTGCTATGTATAAAAATTGTATGTATTGTAAACATTTGCCCAGCTAAGAAAGAAAAAAAAAAAAAAGAAGGGAACTTTTTATGTGTCATACCAAGAACTTATGCATTTGTTTTCTTCTTCTTCTTCTTCTTCATCTTTCTCCTCTTCTCTACCGGCTTCTCTTTTTTCTTCTTATTTTTTTTTTATTGTATTTATTTTCTCTGTTTTATAACTGTAAACTAATTAATTATTTACATGTTTGTTAATTTTTTGTTGTTTAAGTTTTTTTCTATCGTTGCTGTTGTTGTCGCGGATTTTTTCTGAGAAATTTTCGTATTGTACAGTGCCACTTGCATTGGTCCCGAAACACTGTTACGTCTACGGCTGAACTTTTTTTAATTACTGATACTGTTCCATCTAGTTGGACGGAAAAAAAAGAAGTAGAATTTTTTGCCATAACTGTCACTGTTGCTGAGGAACCGTTGTTTGATGCCGTTTATTGTTCCGGTACTTGTCGTCAAACTTGGCCTATCGTTTTGTTCAGAAAAAAAAAAAAAAAGAGAAGAAAAAGTTAACTAATACAAAAAAAAACAAGAAAAAAAATTGAGTTGCCTTTTCTTATAAAAATAAAATTATTTGGCTGGTTGTCAGGACTTGAGTGAAATGTTCAATAGTTTGATCAGGAGGAAAAAAAGACGAGAAATTATGGAAATCTGAACTGAACCTTCTACAGCTTCATTGCTTTTTCTTCTCTCATCTGACCACTTCTCATCTTCACAACAATTTTTTTTCATTTTTAATTCTGATTTTCTAAATTTTCCTTCTGTTGTTCATTGCCAATTCTCTTCTGTTTTTTTTTTTTTTTT